TGGGCTTTTCATACCGGACAGCAGCGTAGTTTCTAATGTCAGAGGGAGGACTAAACATAAAGAAGACTCCGTCCCTCCAGAGGGAGGGAGTCCACACCCCACAGAGATATTGAGGATCCCGTGAAGGTCGACCGTAAATCTGAATGAGGTCAGCAACTTGCGTAAGCATTAATTGAATATGTGTAATGTGTAAACATTATGGGTAATGTAATGTGTGAAATGTGTAAACATTAGTGAAAAGTTATGTGCACACGACCCTTCCGGGCAATTGTTTTAAGATCATTTCGTCCCAGCCCGGGGTGTCTACCAGCTGCCATTCCGGCGACAAGGAGGCGGGTCCGCTGATGGGTTCGTCCGGAGGCCCTCACAGATGTACATCCCAGATTGGTACCCTCCCTGGTACGGAAGGCCATTTGGCGGCTTCTAGCCGGGACATTTGACCCGAAGTAGGCGCAAGAGACCTCATTGGGGCAACAAGAACTCTGATAACCGTAGGTGATCCAATAAATGGCACAGAGACCCATGTTTGGCCAATGGACCCTTGGCTAAAACGGGGTGCAGGGCCCCGCAAGGGCCCCGGGTCACCTCTGCCCGACTAGGGGCTCCTTTCGTCACAGGACTCCCTGTTGGACACTTTGGGGGCCTGACCGACAAAAGACAACTCATTGTTGTAAGGACTCCGGCCAATGCAAATCGCGGAACTCGGCCTCGTTTCCGTCAGATAAATGGGGGCCCAGGGCTCAGAACAACACGGAGTCGTCTATTCGGTGTCGTGGCGTCCGGCCGAAATAGATGTCCGTTGTGTTGGGGCCCACAATCGGTGAAATAGACATATTTGCTGACATTTGGGATCACAGCCATACGGGCCAGGATGGCCTGCAGCCTTTCGACCCTTACGGCCATTCAGCCTTCCCATCGGCCCGTTTATCGTCAGTCTTGAAGGGCACATCGGTCCCTCTTCAGGCACCCTCGTACACTCTCTGATCGACTCGGGGGCCCTTGTCAACACCGGACCTCCGGTTAGGCGCTGTGTGCCCCTGGCCGACACAGGGGCCCTCATTGGCTCGGGGTGCGCTGTAAATCGCGGGTCCTGACCTTGTCGCTGCTTGGGAAATGGGCTCCCAGACTCAGGCCGGGGCCCAATCGGGCGCTCTGGCTGGTATTTGAGGGTCCTACCCACGCCCCCTCAATGACTTTTAGCCAGCTCTTCGAGTCCCATATCGGATTTACGGTTCTCCCAATTGAGATTTCGTCGTGGTCACCTGAATTACACTTCGGGTTTAAGATCAATCACCTTCTCCCCACGACAGTCCGACACCAAGGACAAACTGAGTTCGGGCTAGGGACAAAAAGTGGAAAATAACAAAAGTTTCCCCCAAAACGGATGGTAACGAACAGGAGTGGATCCAGAGAGGGGGGCCACGGGGTATGCCCCCCTCCCCCGTTGGACCCCGAAGGGACCCACTGGCTCCGGGGGGCCCATAGCCGTCCGAACAGGTGCAGTTTTTTTAAAAACACAAAACGCAACAAAACTGCATATCTTTGGATTTCCATGCTACCGAGAGCAGCTGTAAGTGAAAGTGAAGGGCCCATGAGGAGTCTCCAAAATAACTCAGTAACTGGAAAAGTTGTGAACAGGAAATCTTAAGCCCCATTGCACCGTCTAGGGCCCCATGCTGTTTCCGGGGGACCTATATGCCCCTTGTAGGCTCATTTCAGTCGTTTGGGAGCATTCCATGTTGTCCTTCATTTCTTTGCGTTTGCTCAGGGTGTCCTGCACTGTTGTTGGGGATCTTCCTGTTAGCGTGCCTGGGAACTCTTGTCAATCACTGGCCCTTCCACGGATTATTTCCATTCGCCAGAAAGGCTCTGTGAGCGGTAGCCAGAGTCCCATACCTTAACCTGCCGGGGTGTTCTCGGTTGCTCAGGGGCCCTTTACGTGGGTATCGGTTCACCTACCGACACACTTGCGATATGCCCATGGGTCTTCTACATTGGTCTAGGGCGTTTCCAATTCTCTGTCACTTGCTTAGGGCCCTACACTCTTGTCGGGGGCTCATCTAATGGCCTGCTTGGGCACAATCAGTCGTTCGGGGACCGTCTACACTAGGTTTTTGGTATTTCTTTTCTGAATGGGAACCTGCGCTTCTGTGTGTGTGGGGGGGGGAGGCTATCTGATAACCTGCTCTGGCACATTCGATCGTTGGGGGGCCCTCTATATTGGGCCTTACGCACTTTGATGCCATTTGAATGGAGCCCTACGCACTTGCCGGGGGCCCCCTCTGTTCGCTTCCTCGGCCACACTGGATTACTGGTGGGCTCTGCACATTGGCTCTCGGTGCTTGAATTTGGGGCCCTCTGCCCGTATCGGGGTCATCTGATAACCTGATCTGGTACACTCCATTTTTCAGGACCTTCCGCATGGGGTTTTAGATACTTCTTATTTGAATGGAGGGCTTTAAGGTCCTGTCAGGGCCCCCATCTGATAAGATGCTCGGGCCCATTCGATCGTGGGGGACCTCTACGTCTGGTTTTGGGCACTTTCTTTTCTAGTGGAGTGCCCTTCGCTCTTTTCGGGGGTCCTATCTGTTAACCCGCCTTGGCGCACTCGGTTATTCGGGGCCTTCTACGTCGTACCGTGGGTAAGTCATATCTGAACGGAAGGCTCTACGCTCTGGCCGAAGCCCCATCTGCCAACCTGCTCGGGCACACTCGGATATCCGGGAACCCTCCACATTGTGTCTTGGGTACTTCCTATCTGAATGAAGGGACATACGCACTGGTCGGGGACCCTATCCGTTCGCCGCTTCGGCCACATTGGATTGTTCGGGGGCCCTACATATTGTGTATGGGTGTTTGAATTTAGGTCCCTACACTCCTGTCTAGGTCACCCAGTAATCTGCTCGGGTATACTCCATCTTTCGGGGGCCCTCCGCAATGGGTTTTTAGTACTTTTTATTGGAATGGAGGGCCCTACGCTCTTGTCGGGCTCCTTCTGATACGCTTCACGGGCACATTACATAATTCGGGGGTCATTTACTAAGGATATTCAGTGCTTCCCATTGGAATGGAGGGCCTAACGCTCTTGTTGGGAGTCCTTTTTGTTGACCTGCTCGGGCACACTCGATCATCCGGGGCCCTCTTCATTGGGTCTTGGGTGTTTTCTATTTGAATGGATGACCCTATGTTCTTAGCGGGCCCCATTTATCCAGCTGCTCGGGCCGGTGGCGGATGCAGAGGGTGGGACGGGACCATGTCCCATGGACCATGCCGAAGGAACCTAAAGGCTCCGAAGAGGCCCATAACCAGCCGGACGGACGCAGTTTTCTTACAACAAAAGCGCAACAAAATTAGATGCATTTGGGCCTACAGATGACCAAGAACCATTGCTAGCAAAAGTGAAGAGTTCATAAGTAAACGAAGTTCATTCTTCGCTGATTGAGAGATTGTTTCTTTGGGGGAAATGTTGGGGCCCATTACGCTGTCTAGAGGCATTACGCTGTTGGCTGCCTGTCCCTATATGTCCCTTTGCTGCGTCAATCTCATCACTAAGGAGCTTTCCACGTTACCCTTGATCTCTTCCCACTTTTTTCGTGGGGCACAATGTGCTGTTGGGGCGCAATCTGCCTCCATGCTTGAGCACTGTTGATCAATCGGGTTTTCCTCCACGAATTCTCCCATTCACCCGAAAGGTTACATACACTTTTTCGGGGCCGCATATGCCAGAGTACACCCAGTTGCTCAGGGGCCCTTCATATACATCTCAGGTACTTTCTACTTGCTTGAAGGGCCTTGTGCCGTTGCTACGGGTCTTATGAGGCAAGACACGGAGACGCTCGATGCTCAGGGGCTCTCTTCTTTGATCAAGGGCTCTCTCCCTCTGGTCTCATTTGCGACTGACTTTTTACTCCTATCGAGACTCGTGTTGTTAACCTGCCCGTGCACTCTTGACTGCTCAGGGATATTAATTTATAGTCTTGAATAATTCTCCTTTGCTCAGAGGGTCCAGTGCTATGACTGGGGCTTCATAGGTCAGCCTGTCGGGGCACTACCGATCATTTAGGGCCCTGCCACGTGGGCCCACCACGTTAGCCCACCACGTGAGTTTTTTTTGCTTGCTCTGAGGACCCTACATTTGTTGACGGGAGCCAATGTGTTGGTCTCCTGCGGCACCCATGACCGCTCAGGTTCCGTCCCTATTGGCCTTGGTGCATTCGTCTTTAAGCGGCAGTCAAATACGTTCCGATAAATTTTCACGTGCAATTGTCGAACGTAATTCTACATGCCTCCGCCGTCGTATGCGTCATTTCCACTGCCCACTCGGTGTATCACACTTATTTAGATTTGCGGTCAACTTTCATGGGATCCTCAATATCTCTGTTGGGTGTGGACTCCCTCCCCCTAGCATTAGAAACTACGGTGCTGTCCGATATCAAAAAACGCTATTTAGAATCCATTCCGCTTAGACATGAATCAAGTTGGCATCATCACGCTGCGCCGATAGACAATGAAGCCATCCACTTAACATCAGCCTTCGTCGAGATTCGGACCCGGGCTTACCACGTGCGAGACCAGCACGCTGGCCATCCATTCACTGGATGTGCGGGCCCGGCGGCTGAAAATTTGTGATTAGAATAGAAATGGTTCAGAGTGGTTGACGGATTTCGTGATTGTTTGATGTCTATACGCATAAAATCGACTTTTTCCCGGGATTTTGCGTTTTTGCACTTTCTTCCCTCCAAGACTGCCAACCCGCGTATGCTTGACACGTATAACCACCTGAAAGATTTTTGGAGGGTGTATAAGCCCGGTGCGTAACCGCCCTCTGTTTTGGCAGGTCAAGACCCCTTACATATGCATGGCAGGGTGTTTTTCAAATTTTCTAAATCGCTACCACAACAGCTACCATATGAGGGTACGTGGTTTAGCGCCAAACATGGCGCTGTTGTGCCATTTTCTGTAAACGAAAATTCTCGTTACCCTATTGCTGCCCTGGTAGGCTTGCCTTGCTGCTGCGTGTGTCCACCAGGCGCCATAAGCTGCCGGCGTTTCTTCTGCCAGCATCTGTTTCATATTTAGGAAAAGGAGACAGACGGTTGTAAACGCTGGGTTATCTGCTGGCCAAGTTCGCTGACTGCGGATTCTGATACCGTGCCAAAGGTTTTTTAAGCTTTTGCTGCGATGGTGAGTTCCGTTTGAATCACGCTTGGTAGGCTGCTTCCGTGATTATACTAATTCATAAGGGGCCTGACGGTCTGGGGAGTTATTCACACCAGGGTTATTCAAGCTTATCATCTCTGCATAACGCCTGCTTAAGTCTGCATGTATTACAGTTTCCGTAAAGTGGTTATTGCAAGGTATGATATTATATTGCATTAATGCTTTGTGATATACTGAATTGGCAAAGTGTGGATGGATGGGATGATGGTTAAAGGTGAAAGTCACCTACCAGAATGCAGCTATTTATACAAAACAATGTATTTGGGTTGCACATTAACAAACATAATAAGAAAACAAAAGCTGTTGGGTGGTATACTTCAAAATCACAATCCCACACAGCAATGGCCTTAACAGAGCTGTCAACATTTATCAGACTGTACTAATCATTAATCGGTCAATGAGTTCACTGAGCACTGTGCTCTCATATGAAAACTTGTGAACTATGATGGGGGGAAGACAACATGAGTGATCCATGTCTTGCATTTTAGTCTTTACATCCAGATGTCATAGGTGGAAGGAATTAAACCCCAAACACACCTAATTCTAGCAAAATGGATGCTGCATTGGCAAGGCAATGCTTCTTATGGAGACAATTTTACAAGAAAATACTTATGAGACACTACCATTATCCTTACTCCTCACTGAAAAACTAAGAGAAGGGAGATTGCCTGCATTACTCGACTCCTTCCATTTTGTTTCAACTGTGAGCTACAGTTATATAGGTCACCAACATTCAGGGGATTAAATGAGAAGTTGATAGGCATTGATATGGTACAGTGCTTACATAATTGAGGATTACAAATCCATAGGTCCAAACACATTCAAGTAAACTAGCATCACACAACACACATCAGGCATCACTCATTCATGCATATGATTTCAAACAAATGGGCTTCACACATTACACATCAGACATCACACATAATGTGAGCAATTTCAAACTAGCATGCATCAGGCATTAAGATGTTTATCACCTTTGTTTGATTTGCAATGATAAGCCCTGCACATGTAAGTATGGCTGCAGACTTCTGTCATAATGGATTCTCTAATTTTCCTGTCAAGATAGTCTTGTGCTTTGTATATGACTCTGAGTTTCTTAAAGGTTAAAGGGCTGGACCTTCCTGGATGGCCTAAGTGTGTTTCATCCAAAAAATGTCACGGAAAGGGATATTCTCTGTGTTTTGTTGACATCTCGCAGGTGATGTGGACTATTTTCCTTTGATGTTTTCAGCACAGTTCACGCCTGCTCTCATTAACCATATTTTTCTGAATGCAAGCCCTTTGAAACCCTGACCTCCATAAAATGCACCTATTGCCTCCCAGTGCTTGAGCTTCAAGATGTAAGATTTCACCAGAAACTTGTTAAGCTTTTTTGATTCTTCCAACATATGTGTAAGGATAGCATTGAAAAAGAAATGTTTGATTTTTCAATGCAAGTATTCATCTATGTAAAGTATTGGTAAGAAGCTGTTGTCCTTCAGGGGCATTTCCATTTCCAATCACATATCTTCACATGCTCCAGATCTACACCCCTTTGAACATTCTCACCAAAGGCTATGGAGAGTATCCATTACCCAACAGCAAAGCCCATATTTTGCATCTTTGTTCCTTTTTCACAACTCAATGAGTTGTTTGGAACCCTATGCCATATTTCAAGTTATGTTGTGACTAGTGTAAGTCTGGATGCACAGATTCACAATGCAGAATTATGCTGGGGTTGGTAGGTTTCACAAAGAGCTCCATTTCTAAATGTGGTATGGCCATTCCTCCTTTTTTCTGTTATTTGTGTGTCAAAATATGGTACCCTTTCCATCCCCTGCATGCTCCAAAGTAAAGGTTAAAATTGGATGCTGATTGTTCATGAGCTCTAGAAATTACTCAGTGACACACTGTCCCTGTGTCCATGCTCCAGCATAGTCAAGGGCCTTCATTTCAAATAGCTCTAAAGATGTGGTCAGAATAGGTGCACATGGGTTCTCTACCACTGTGCCCAGTTCCCATCGACATTAGTCATCTCTGAGCAAGAAAACGTTGTCCTGGAAGCCCTGTTATAAAAGACCATGGGGTTTCCTTTTTGATACACAGAAAGCATAAATTTCTTGGAAATGGTCATATATCCTAGCTTTTATAGCAGTGACAGCCGCACTGGCTAGCCTATTGCTGTATGTAAATGAATATGTTATAAATATGTGTGTATATATGTATATATATATATATATATATATATATATATATATATACATACAAATCAACAACATGTACGCTGGAAAAATAATAGCTTGATGACCCTACTGCCCATGAATGATTGAAAGCTTTCAGCTGAGTGGGAGCAGACCTCCATAGCTGGTTGAGTATTTTATTTAAAAGACACTGTCTTGTAGTGAAAAAGAAAGAATGAGCATTACCAAAATACGGGTTTTGATGTTGGGTAATGGATAACCCATCACAACTTTTAAGGGAGAGTGTTGGAAGAGGTGAATAAGTTAGAGGACATGGGGAGGTGGGTGGTAGGAAACAGAATCATGCAGTGTACTTGCTTTGGAAAATAAAAAAACTTGTCATACACACAGCACAGCACCATCCAGACAGTAACATTACTGAATCCTTTCTTATAAGAAGTTGACAACCAGACCTGAGCATGCGGGCCTCATCATGGCTGATCATGTGAGTTGATGTGCTTTAATGCCTATTGTGTGCTAGCCTGAAATCATTTACATGTATGACTGATGCCTGATGTGTAAGGCATGATACCTATTTACTTGAAATCATATGCATGTATGACTGATGATTGATGCAAGATGTGTGATGCTCGGTCTTTTTGCTGGAACTTGTTTGCATCCACACATGTGTAATTCCTATTTATATGCATATATGTATGTATGTATATACATCAGATATGTATAAATATTTTAATACACATATATATATATATATATATATATATATATATATATATATATATATATACATGTGTGCATGTGTGTGTGCACATGCATGTGTGTGTGTACACTCCATCATAAAAATGACTGGCAATGGCTCCTGGTTGAATCTTCTTCATGCTGGTGATGTGTAAAAAGTGGGGCTGCTGTTAAAAACAGGTGAATGTGAAACATTGAGAGAGCTTTAGAATGTATTGCTTGTTATCATTTTGGCAAAATACTTTTGCCAAAAATTTGATGCACCTATCTCTGCTGGGTTGAGTGTGAAATAGGCACCTAAATTATATATATACATACATACATATATATATATATATATATATATATATATATATATATATATATATATATATATATGTACAAATATATAAATAAGGCTTACAGTGCTGTCTTATGTCCATGCAATGTTCTTTGCTGCTGTGCTTAAAAACTGATGTAAAACACCGTTATATTAATCCTGAGAAAACCTGGAACTATGGAGATACGCTGGTCTGATAAGCTTAGTGAGATCATTTGTTATTGGGTAATCTCCGCAGCGGAGGTGCCGTATTGAGACTCGCAGGGTGGGTGGCTGGCAACATCATATATGATCACCTGCTGTGTCATGAAGTCCCAACGACAATGATAGCTGAGAAAACTGAAAATCACGGCTATTCCTAATCCATGGCCAAATTATGGTCACGTATCTCTGTATTACTAAAGGAACAATGTGTGTGTGTGTGTGTCCGTCAGTAGACCTGCAGGCCTAACGGTCAGGCGTTTTTGCATGAAATTTGCACACGACCGCGATCCGCCGGGTGCGCTTGATATAGTTGCGTCAAATTTCGGCATTCCGCAAAAATGAGCGCGTGCCAAGCGGAGAAAACACGCAAAAATCCCATAGGGTTAACACGGGCGACGCCAATTTCGCGATTCCGGCCGACGGCCCGACACGCCTCACTTCCCGGAGTCGTATTTCAGTAACGAACGGTCGCAGCGACACGCAACTTGCACGGTGCGATAGAGCAAGGAATGAGCCACCGCAAGCTGTTTTTTTTTGCGCCACGTCACGCCACGCCACGCCACGCCACGGCCACGTCGGCCACGTGGCCGTGCACGAGTGTTGAAAAGTTGAAATCGGCCGCTTTTGACACGTTTTTACGATTGCCGTTATGTCCCGGCGCGGAAGATGTCTGATTTTTTTCCCAACATTCACAATTGAAGCGGCCACCTTTTCAGTGGGCATCGTTAGTTTGTGCAACGCACCGTTGCGCCGCAAATTGCATTACAAATTGTAACGGGCCGAGTTTTAAAAACCGAAGCTGAATACAAGCTGCTACCGTCAAAACTTTGCGTGATCTAGGGTTGGAAACTACATCAGCTTGTCGGCCTATTCGTCCTGTCTCTGATGCACTCTTTTGTTGAACGCATGTTAAAAACTGTCACTCGCAAATGCGCCCAGTGAATGCACGACGTCATTTTCGCCGCGACGGCGGTAAGTTACAGCCTCGACTCCCGGCGTACGCCCTAGGCGTTAGGGGTTCAAATGCCCCTCTGCGCGGCGGGCTTTCGACTTTGTTCATTTAGCCACGCTTCATGGTGAAGAACTAGCATTCAGGCTGGTCTTCAGTCCGGCAGTGGGCCGGCGGTCGGGTGGTGTGGTGGAGGGGTCTCAGATGAGGCGTGGCGGTGGGCGGCGCGCTGTGAGTTGCGGTCGCCGTGAGCGCAAAGGCGTGGGTTTTGTGCCCCAACATTTACAGTTGACGCGGGTGCACTAACAGGCACATCGCGAGTTTCTGCAACGCATCGTTGCGCTCAAATTGCACGTTAACTTGCTAGATGCTAAGTTTTAAGATCAAAATGGTACGGTCACACGTATGACATGGTACGGGATCACAGGTGGATTTTGCTCTCTTCCACGGATTTGCAGCTTTTGTGCCACATTTCGGCACCTATGGCACCAACACACCCGGGACTGGCGCGCTCATTGATGAATGAAAGAAGCGAGATGTCAGTATTAGGTGACGTTTGTCACATGTTATGGCGCCCATGTATTTAACAATGGATTGGCACCATTTTGGTTTTTGAGGGGCTTGCACATTCTCGTGATATCTCAGAAGCCAGGGAATAAAGTACACAGGGACTGGCATGCTTCGATAGGTGATTTAACGGGACATCACTGAAACGTGTACGATGTCATGCTGCACGCGTCATGTGACACGTGCACATTAGCTGTGAAACTGTATTTTGGCGATTTCGTCCATTTCTACGCTTTACGCGGGATTTCCGCTGTTATGACACGTAGTAACACGAGACTGGCGTGTTCCGAGAGGCCATTGAACGGGAAATCCCTTGGTCACATTTGTCACAAGTGCGGGCTGATACGTTGCACGTGTCGGGCACACACGAGCCAGGAAGATGGCTTTTGCTCTTTTCCACGGGTTTACGCGCTTTGTGCCACATCTCGGCACCCAGAGCGCAGAGCGACTGGGGAGTGGCATGCATTCACAACAAACCGAACAGACAAAGACTTTGTGTGAATTGTCATGCCGCACATGCGTGTAACGCGTGCACGAACCAGAAAGGTAAATTTGACTTACCAGCCGCTTTTCACTCTTTGATGCAGTGCAATGCTGTTTGATACAACGGCAGTACGTGCTGCCATCGTTCCAAATGCTGACAGTTGATGGGAGGGGCAAAAATCAATGGTCACACCCCACGACCATTCGCTCAACCCATGGAATGGGTTCGGCTGTGTTGCAGAGAGCGCGCGGAAATGCGCCCTCTCGTGCAACGGCCGCCAGAGACCGCCAGTACCGCGTGCCGCCTGCGACCGAATCTTTTTACACTTTGCCCAATATTTTGGCAACCAGGGCACCTAGAACCGTGATTCCAACTGCAAAAGATACATAGTAAAAACAAATCAAATTTTGCATTAGCGCAACGAAGCGAGCGCGCAAGCGCCTGCGCGGCTGTAAATCCTCAGTCCATCTAAGCATACCCACTTCACCATTCTTTTCCACATAGTTTGTTTTACATCAGTAAGTCACTGCGTTGTTGGGTACAGTTCTGAGACACGAGTCATGCGTGCACCACGTGAAATTGGTATTAATTACTCCACTGACTTTGTTGACCCTTTTTCCGCAGTCATCGGAGGACGAGATCAAGGTTGACAAGTGGGATGGATCTGCTGTCAAGAACTCGTTGGATGATGCAGTTAAGGAGGTGAGTGTGAAATTTAGTAGATTAATGGAAATCAGCCATTTGTTCTAGGGTGAATAAATCCTTGAGCTTGTTTGTGAAGGTTTGAAACTTAGTTGACTACAGTACACTCTTGTGTGGCTGTTACAGAAAGGAATAGTTCAAAAGAACCCAATGCTTGTAGTCCCTGTGAGAATGAGCATGTCGCCCTTGAGCCTTGTTCAGCGCACAGTGGCACGCCACTGCCGGGGCCATTACCCACGCAGGAAGCGCAGCGACGCCTCCCCCGCGCGGAGGTGCCGAGTCCCGCCCCCGTCTGACGAGGCGCTGTGCCGCTTCTCTTCCACGCCCGGAAGGGGCTGCCCCCCCCCCCCCCCCTCCCCTCCCAGCTGACGTGTCCTGCTGGCGTCAGGTGCTGCTCAGCAAGTACAAGTACGGCGAGAGCCACTGGCTGATGGACTGCCGGCTCTTCATCTGCACGGTGGCCGTGGGCCTGGCGGGCCTGGCCATCGTCTGGGACTACCTGCACCCGTTCCCGCTGTCTAGGTGAGAGCGGCACCGGCGCCCTATCGCGCTCGTGGTCAGACCGTCTGCACTGCTGTGGATCCGACGAGGCCCCCGCTGCCGCCGACGAGGCCAGGAGCGAGCGCGCTGCTCTCTCGGGCGAGGCTCGCCCGAGCGCGAGGAGAGGAGCGCGAGGCAGCTGCCCCGTCCAGCTGAGGCGGCGGATGGGGCGCCGGTATGGTCTGCGCGTGGGATGCTGCCTCGGAGAGGATCGCCAGTGGTCCGGGTTGGCACGCATTTTCCGTGCTGGATCGCTCTCCGGGGAGGGATTACCGTCCCGTCCCTGGCACCACTTCATCTGCTCATCCGAAATATCCACGCGACGGCGGAAGGCAAAGCTGACGTGCTGGCGCATTCTACGTGCCAAAAACCACCCCTCCGGGGTTGAGAGGGCTGGGGGGGAGGGGGCGGGGCTAACTAGAATGGCTTCCGTTCGTGAGTAGGTCTTGGAGTGCTTTGGTCAGGATGGCGTAAAATGGTGAGGAGTCTTCTGGCCTCAGTCTGCCGACCTGCCCTCAGCCGTGACGCGCTCCTTGAGGAAAGTGGGGCGACCGCACACAGATGGCGCTGGCGGTCCCAGCAGTAACTATACGTGGCGCCACAGGAACTTCGCGGTGAGCGCGATACACGATGAACGGTGCCCGAAAGGTCAAGGATACGATGCGCTTTCCCGGAGCACTGCAGTCTCACGAACTGTCGCCAGGTACACGCACAACGGCAGAATGAATCATCATACGGCCCAGATTGAGTACTGCTCGCTTTAACAGTAACGGACACGTGTGTAGACATGGCCGGGTGGGATGGGTGAACCATGCGCCTATCCGCTGGTGGGTAACAACGTTATCATTGTTTGGGTTTTCATGCGCTTGGTGAACTTAAAGGTGATGTGTCACATTTGAAAATATTGAAGCAAGCTCACTTAAGACTATTGGTTTACTTTGAGCGGGAAAAGACTGTCCTAGGCAACACAATTTCTCTGATAAGTAAATACGCCCCTTGATACGTCGTTGTTTGAGTACTTCACCGTACATTGCACAACATTGATTGAGAGCCAATTGAGAGCCGTTGTATCTGGAAATCGTTCTTACGAGCGACAAATATGAACGCCTCGACAATTTTGTTGGGCTTGGCCTTGATCGCCGCATGGGTTATGGAACGGCATGATTTGAATGGCGTTATTATGACGTAATGGATGCCGAAATGACTTTGAGATACTCTCCGAAAAATTCCCCCCATTTTCGCGGGCGTTTCGTTTCGTTTCGCGGGCGTTTCGTCTCCTCAACTCTCAGACACTAGGGGGGGGGGGGGGGGTTACGTCTTAAGAGGGACAGGGTTGTGAACAACTCCGAAAGGTCTTCAAAATGGCTATTTCAGCTCAAAACCCCATATAAATGTGGAGCACTCTCTTTGGCATAGAACAGGATTACAGATGTACTGTGCATGCATTTGTCACAGGCAGTGTTCAATTCAATTTTTTAGGAATCGATTCGGCATTTATTCATGAACCATGTTTAATGATTCAAATTTAACTGAAATCATGGTTTTGTTTATTGTGAATCGATTATTTGTTGATTCACATCCCAGTCACATCGCAGTTCAATGATTTAACTCTGATTCAAATAATCATTTCAGTGTGTGAGTAGACTCAGCATTGATTCACCCCACATTTAATGTGTGCATGCTGATTGTTCTTTGTGTAATTGTCAACTCATTATTTCACAGCCAATGTACTTAATGATTTTGTTTTTCATTAAAAGCGAAGTAAATGCTGAATCGTTTCACTTGGCCCTCACGTAGATTGTTGGATTCACACGAACCACCTTAAGAGGAGCCATTTATTCGAGTATTGATGCATATCGCATTTTTATTCGAAAGAGTCGATCCACTTGTGACTCATAAAATATGTGATTCATGAATCATTTATGGATTTGTGTTGAATCGAACACATGTCTGATTTGTGCACCTTAACGCACCTTATGAATTACGCAGGCGTTTATATGACGTAGAAAAAAATCCGTTCCCTGCGTGTTGCCAGATTTGGTGGTTTCCACCAGCCCGGACAGTCTGGAGAACAGGCCAGACCTGAGTCGTACGGACGCGTGCTCTATGCACGGAGAACAATCCGTCCGCGCCGGTCGATGAAGCACGGCGGGGCTGCCACAATAATGGAGCTCGTTGTGGTCGAAGAATGCCTCTGATGAAAACAAAACCGTGCTCTGCTCTCCGTGAGGCAAAGGAGGGGATCCGGAAGTTTCGCAGGAAAGACCGATCTGAGAAGGAGTGGATATGCGCTGGGGCGGATCAGTATAAATACGTGGTGAGTTAGTGTCGCAGCGGATGGATTCACGTGGTATGGAAATCGGTCGTCCTCGTCCAGGTCACCTCGCAGCATTCCAAAATTCAGCGTTCGTGGGAGGAAAACACAGCCATCAAAGCGTCCTGACCAAATTTACAGCTGCTTTAGCCACTCCGGAAATAGCGAAGGAGTGTGGGCGGTCAGTCGGCTCGACTGACCGCATCGTTATTATGTGTGACGAAGGTCAGTGTTATGGCTGGTGTGACATCTGAATCGCAAGCACTTACCTGTTCCAGCTCACTGAACTGAATGCAACACTTTGTCTGGGCGTGCGCGCGTGCCTGAGGGTCATCGCGAACAGCTGCACCTGTTAGTATTGATTACTACGCCCTGTCTAACGGACCAGACTGGCCAGACGAGCAAGATGTTGTTGCATTAGCAGCCTGCCGGAGGGCAACACAGCGTGCCGCTGCTGCTCACTTGTTGACGCCAAACTCGAGCCGACACCGGCGAGGCTCTCCGGGCGCGCCACGTCTCCGCTGTCGTCCTCGGAGGTCCGTGACCTCGTCCTGGTGGCCGCGTGTCGGCGCTCGCGTCCCCGGCCCCGGCCCCGGCCCCGGCCCAGGCCCAGGCCCAGCCCGGGCCCCGGACCAGCCCGGCCCCGCCCGGACCGGCTCGGCCGCATTGTCGACGCGGTTTTAATCACGGCGCGCCGCGGGCCTCCGGCTGCGTATGGGAGGCGGCGGTCGTCGGCCGCCGGGCGCTGCGCCCGACGCTGGTGCTCGAGGGACGCGTGCCCCGCCGAAGGTCGATATGCGGCGTGTGGGCGCCGGCCGGGCCGCCGCTGCCGCCGCCGGCAGCGCTGGGTAATTATGCACAACTGGTGGCTGACGGAACGATGTTGCGGCCCGCTGGTGCGTTACGTGACGCGGTAGAAGTGACGGCGTCTGGCGGTGTCGCGGGGCGTGGGCCTCTTGCCAAATTGGGTGGTCAGGCTGCGCGCCGGCCGGTTATGTGCGTGGCTGGCCGGGAGCGCTGAAGGGGCGGCTGCGACGGACGTAGAGCGCGGGCTTGCGGCTCAGTGATTGCCGTGGGCGTCGTGATGGTCGTCAGGACTTTTGCGAGGGATCTACGAGGTTATCGTTATGTATCGAGGACCAGCGTAGTTATCGGAATGTCCTTGTGGTTCGGGCGAGCTCCGGGGGTTGAGTGTTGACCGCGGCGGGAGGATATGTTGATGACGCTCATTGTCCACTGTCCACTGCCCACTGGCCACTGCCTACTGGCCACTGCCCACTGCCCACTGCCTACTGCCTACTGCTCGCTTTTCACTGTCCACTGCCCGCTGGACGCCAGGCCCTGTGTTTACCCTGGGTCTGCCCTGCCTGGGATGCCCAATCCCGGTGTGGAACGCCGGCTCCGTGACCTTCGTCTCGTGCTCAAAACATGCCACCGGTAGTTCGGCGTCTTTCTCGCCTCAGGTGAAGTCAATAGCCACGGCACCCGTTGCCGCCGTTGTGGCCCGTGATCACGGCACCCGTGGCCGTCGTTGTGGCCCGTGATCACGGCACCCGTGGCCGTCGTAGTGGCCCGTGACCACGGCACCAGTGACTGTCATAGTGGCCCGTGACCGCGGCACTAGTGACTGTCGTAGTGGCCCGTGACCGCGGCACCAGTGACTGTCGTAGTGGCCCGTGACCACGGCACCAGTGACTGTCGTAGTGGCCCGTGACCACGGCACCAGTGACTGTCGTAGTGGCCCGTGACCGCGGCACTAGTGACTGTCGTAGTGGCCCGTGACCACGGCACCAGTGACCGTCGTAGTGGCCCGTGACCACGGCACCAGTGACCGTCGTAGTGGCCCGTGACCACGGCACTAGTGACTGTCGTGGCCCATGACCACGGCACCCGCGGCTGGCGTAGTGACCACAGCACTAGTGGCCGGTGCGTTGTTTCAAGATGTCCATCACTTCATCCTCATCGATGCCCTAGTCGAGTTTGTCTGAAACACGGTCCCCACACCGCCCGTACATAACCCTTTACGACCGCCGACGACGGACGCTGACGCCGACGGGGAGCGCGTTTGTCAAATGCTCAGAACAGATTGAACCGCACATGGTTTAATTTTCAAGATCGAACCGCACATGGTTGAATTTTCAAGATCGAACCGCACATGGTTGAATTTTCTGCCGGCATTAGGAATTGGTGTGCGATGGCAGTCGATTGGCGTGGAAAGGCAGTAACGCGGCTGTACGGGCGTGTGCGGCGGCGGTGGTGGCCTCACACGCCCGTTTTGTCCCGCACACGCGGCTGTACGGGCGTGTGCGGCTGCGGTGGTAGCCTCACACGCCCGTTTTGTCCCGCACACGCGGAGAAAACGGAAGTCCTGCGGCAGTTTTAGCGAGACTTATGATACCCATGTTTTTTATTTAAATACTTTGAAGATAAATGATCGTCCAGTCCAAACATGGAAAAGCTTGAAGGTATGCTCTGCAGAGCCTTGTTATTTCATTTAGTTTTAACACGGACACGCAATGCTCCGCATTAATCAGCCCGGAAGCCCACGAAGCCTCTGAACAACCTGTTGCATGCTGTTTGAAGTGCTGTGTACGTCGCCACACTTCACTATGTCAGTCTGTCCCTTGTTTATTGAGAGGAAGTTGGGGCGCAAAATGATAATTGAAGTCGACGCGCCCGAAAACACCAATGAACAACAAATTGTGAGAAAGCTGAAGGCAACACTTTGGACAATTTATCCCCCACCGTCGCGCACTGTCGCTGCATTTGGCCCATGCTTTTACTGGCCAACACCGGGTAACGTCTAGTCTCGCATGGACACCGTCGTGACCGGAACATGATTGGTTCGCGATGTTGCATAAGCTGTATGTCATCACTGACCATCTTTGATCAAGAACCTGCACCAAACATGCTATTCATTGTGTAGATTTCATCCTTTATTTTCATTATGCATTATGCATTATCACAGCCATCATTTTGCCAGCACAAAGCTCGCAGACAGGGTAGCGACCCTCCAACTTGCCCTTGACCGTCTGAGCACTGAGCTTGCATCGCACGCCGCAGCCCTCTTGCATCGTATACTGAGCCCTCTTGTCCGGCCTGTTCGCCTGCTGTCTCGCCCCAGCACCCATTCCGTTTGTGTCTGTTCATTCCATCGTCATTCCATGTCCCTGCCCGTTCGCGGCGTCGCCGCTCTCCCCTCCACAGGCGCTGATGATGGTCGGCATCTGCCGACCGGCAGCCGGGGCGTGACCGGGCCGGCGCGGCCCCGTCCGGCGGCCAGTACGCGCCGCCGCCGCCGGCTGACCTGACCCGACCCGACGCCGGCGGCATTTCGTGACGGGCGTGTCCCGTCCGGCCGGATATAGTCCACATCCGGGGACGGCGGGCCTGCTGCGGCCCCGGGCAGACGGCTCGGACGCCGCGGATGCCCCGGAAAGAGCGAGAGCGAGAGCGACAGCCCCTGCGCTCCAGTCCTCGTGTCAGAGAGCCGGGTTATGCCAGGACGGGACATTATGCCGGGCGGGAGCTCCACAACATAGGGTCAATTACCAGCTTAGTGCACAACCTGGGAACGTGTGAGTCCCTGCGCCGCCCGGAAAGCCACTCACGTCAACGCCAGTAAGCACTCAAGGGCTGGCGTTCCCGGCTCACCAAAAGGACGTAGGAGGTTCATGGTATGATAACTGATAAGGCCGATAACTGGCAGGGCGCTTCACAGAGAGCCGCCTGAACTCCTGGGTCGGGTCCGTTGCAATATCAGTGGGCGCTTTCAAACGTCAATTGTTGCATCGTTCATAACGTGTTAATGTCAGACAGATTATTGTAATGCCCTACTGTAAGACGACATGTACCAGCGGATGTTGGACGGTCGGACCAATGCATTTAACATAGCGTGGCCGCGTGTAGTGAAACATCCATTGACCTACGCGGACCTTACCATACCCCGCGGCGGCCGGCAGTCACGGCCACGTGCGGGGCACCGGTCGTGGCGTGACGCCGCTGTCGCTGGCGTGACGGCGTGACGGCGTGCCTCGGCGGACGTCACGCGTCAGTGTGGCGTGCGTCGCCGTCAGCGGCGGGCGTTTGGCCGGGCGGCCGGTCACGGGGTCCGGCGCCGGTCGCCGTCCGTCGGCGCGTGCCGTGGGCGGCGCGCGCGCTGCGGCGCCCGTCACCTGCCGCGCCGCCGCCGTCTGGGGACACGGGCGCCGATCGGCAACGCTCGGCGCCGATCGGCGCCGGATGGCCGGGAGGGTAGCGGTCCCGGCCCGGCGGGCCCGAGCGCAGAGCAGCCAGTCGACCGTCGGAGGCACGATCCGGCAGGGAGCCAGCGGATGAGTTGGCGGGCGATCCGACAGGCGCTCTGACACGTCAAGCGTCGGCCGATCCGATGGGCGACCCAGTCGAGGGTCTGTGGCACACAGCTCTCCAGGGGGTCGGGAGGGCCCGGCCCGGCGGTGGGTCGGCCCGGCCGGCAGTGCGGCGTCGGCATGTGTCCGTTACGCCGCTGCTTCCGCCCTGACGGGTCAGGGGACGGGCCGCGCGGTGCGTGCGGGCACTGACGGGCGCGGCTCCGCCCCCATCCGTCGCTGGTCGACTATGCATTGCTTGCGTGCGCCAGCCATCGGCCCGAATGGATCTCTGAGTTCGTAGATTATGGACCACGCGAGGTTTATGACGTTGCCTGATAGCGCCAATCCCTCCGTGGACTTCACTGTATCATTTTCCGAGGTGGGTCACTGCTTGGCGTGCTTTAGGTATTCACTGAGCGGCTTTTAGGCATTGATCATGTAAATCGTTATAAATTGCCGCGCTATCGCGCCTTCCCAATCGTGGCGTTGATGGGCCCCATTTATGAAGCTTTTGCGGAGAATGTGGTGTCCTGGACGTGGATGCCATCAGTCTTCGCGGACGTGCAGAATTTTTGCCAATGCATGAGATAGAAATCGACCCGAGTAAGATGACCTGGGTGGCTGACTGCAGACTGGATGGTCTCCGTTGTAGCATTTTGCGCCAGTTACAAGTCCCGTTCCGAAAGAGTTAACTGGTGCGCTAACATCATCCGAATTCTTAAACGAAATTCTGGCGGGTTATGTATTTATCACCATTCAGACTGGGAAGAATTAGGCAGTGCCCTTACCCGGCTTTGGAATTTTTGGGGAATGGGAAGTGCACGTTTGGCGTGTCCAGGACATATGTCCGTGCGTAGCTGCGGATATATGTCCGTGTGGACCAATAACGTCGTTTTTCACGACCAAGGTCTTTTCACCGCTTGCATCTTGTGTGTGTGTATTATCACTTGCAACACCTGTGTATGAGTTTCTACTAGACAGTGTCAAAACAGACCGACAGACTCTACGTCAGATTCGTAGCACATGACTGTCTGGTGTCTTAGGTGTCAGGTGTCAGGTGTCTCACAGTAAGTGTGTCTTGTTCACTCATCGTTGTTGTGTAGAACACCGAGTCTTCAGGTGTCGTGCTTGTGGTGTCGTGTCCTCATATTGCCTAGCGTTATTAGACGGGGCTTTGCCCGACAAACACTCTGCTCCCTTGAGTGCTAGTAGATTAGGGGTGCTGGAAAAATCCGAACTTTGTAACGAGTTGTAAAAGTTTCCTGGAGCGGGCCGGTGAAATGGTTGGCAGAAGAACAATTTTGGGCACGAGCGAGGCGGACCCTCTGTCCTCGGGTGCCATGGTCTTGTCGAGTGGTGCCGTGGTGCTGGTGGGTGCCTCGGCGCCTGGTCCCCCCCCCCCCCCCCCGCGGCCATCTGTCTCGAGGTGAACTATCGTCCTACCACCGCTTAGCTATCGCCCCATCGTGCCACCATCGCTGAGCTATGTTCCCACCACCGCTGGGCTATGGTCCCACCACCGCTGGGCTATTGTCCCACCATCGCTGAGCTATGGTCCTACCACCGCTGAGCTATCGCCCCACCCCCGCTGAGCTATCGTCCCACCAGCGCCCAGTTTGCTAGATCGAAATGATCGAAGATCACTAAATCAAAGGGGTGCCCACGATAGTTGTTTTCGTGCTGTGGGATCGGATGCTGTGTTCGAGCTGATCTGATAGCGCCCCTTGAGACCACGTGCTGACTGGCCCGCTGTCAGTTGCGCCGCTGAGGGCGGACTCGGCCGTCCTGTGTACCCGCGGATCTGACGTGGGGACCGGGATGGTTACCGCGGACGCAGCGCTCACCTGTACCCTGCGCGGCTGGTCGGCAGCGGCCGGGGGAATGATGTGGAGGATACCGCTTGTGGATGAGATGTGAGAGACCGCGCCACCCGTGTGGCGCTGCCATCTCACGTGGTTCCCGTTGCAGGCCGATCCTGATCTTCTGCGTGGTCTCGTACTTCGTGCTGATGGGCATTCTGACGCTGTACACCACGTACGTGGAGAAGAACGTGTTCCTGGTGGCCGTACAGAAGGACCCGTCGGGCATGGACCCCGATTCCAAGTGGGAAGTTAGCTCCACCATGAAACGGTAAGCGGTGAGGTGGGGACGGAGGTCCCGGCAGCCGTCCGCGCACGGCGTGCCCCACCCACGAGTCTGGCGCCGGCGAGACGAGGAGCCCCGCCCCTCGTCCCGGGCCAAACGCCGATCGCTATGTCGCGTGTGATGAGCGCCGGCGGCTGGTCCGGCGGGCCCCCGGGAGCAGTGTTGCGTTCGTGTGGCACATGCTGGCCGTGTCGGGGCGCGCTTGAGGAGGCGCGGGTGGCACGGGTGGACCGAGCACGCCTCCGGCGCCGAGATATTGGCGTGCAAACAAGCGGCCAGCGCCGGAGATTGGACGCGCCGGTGATTCGGCGCCCTTCAGGAGGAATCCTGATGCCGGCCCGGCGTGACGGTACGCGCGGCTCGGCGGCACTCATTCAGGGCGGGCGGTCGGCCGGCGCCTGCGACGCCATCAGGGCATAGCCCGGCTCGAGCTTCGGTTATACGGCCGCTCGGGCGCCTGCGGTCTGCATGGCTGCTGCAAGGAGGACTACCGGCCTGGGCTTCAGTCAAAACCGGGTGTTTTTGCATTTTTTTGCGAGGGAATGATGGTCTGTGTTTAAAGCTAAACTGCAACTTGTATGATATTTCATGGCATGAGATGATATACGGCATTAGTTCCGGTCAGGCTGACCCGGCGCGTCCGAGTTGAAAATTTTATCGTTCAAGTCATTTTTGTTCGGCCCCGTATATTGCCTTTAATAAGTCTGTCAAGTTTTGACTTTAGCACAGACCCAGTGAGACCTGATAACCTGATAGGTACTTTCTCTATGGCAGCGTTTTAGTCCATAGCGGTACGCGCGGGGACCATTCACACAAGCGGCAATGTCAGGTATGCGTAATTTGTTGGTGCTGATTTTTTAAAAAATCCAAACGTTCTATTCATGTAGGGAAAACAACCTTTGGCAACCCACAGCCGTTCAACGTGCGTTTCTGTGTCTGGCGGCCGGATAGAGGCGGGGGCACCGGTCAGTCGGTCACACGCGGCCAGTATTTGCGGTGTTTAATTTAGTGTTCTTAACAATTTGATTTAGTCGTGACTTGCATCATGGTGCGGGACGAAATTTGTATCCCAAACTCGAAATTTTCCCCAGACCCTCGTTACGAATATGTTCTTCAGTGTGAAGTATTCTTAGACCTCTAAGAGTGCTTTACACCGCGACGCCTTGCGTGCATACGTACACCGCGGCGCCGAAGGTTTTTTTTTATCCGACCGTCCAGTGTGGTTATATCACTTTGGTCATGGCGTTTCGATTTTGCAATAACCTTGCAGCAGTGACGCATGATTACAGGCATCTCCCAAGCCGTATTCCCCGCTGGTGTCCAGCCCCCCCCCCCCCCCCCCGTCGGAATGCACAGCCGTGTGCTGGACCTCCACTAACATTTGGAAGAGCACACATTTCACGGTCCCGCTAGGGCGTGAGCATCGCCGTCGGCCACCGGCGTCGGTCGACCGCCAGCGGTGGTGACCGGCTCCGGCGGTGTCTGGGTCGATGCTCCCGGCCACGCAGACGGCTGCAACCGCACTTAATTGGACTGTGGTTATTGTCTGGGCTCGTCTGGACGTCGGATGGCAGTGACTAAGACTGAGCCGCCGCCGCCGCCGCCGCCGCCGCCGCCGCCGCCTCCGGCCCACTGTTATGACTAGCATCCGCGAAACACAGCCACCGGCAGGGCGGCATGCTGACGGTTTGGGGACCCGCTGGGCTAGGTCTCAGTCGGGGCTCCACCTCCCCCCTCCCACTCCCCCCGCCCCCGCCCCGCCCTCGCCCGCACGGCGAACTGCTCGATGGTGGGCGGTCGGGCGGGCGGCTGCCGGCTCGGCGACCGAACCTGACGCGAAGCGGCGCCGCTATCGCGTACGCTCGGCCGAGCGGAAGGGCGCCGCCTCGCCATCGATTGGGCGCCGATGCGGTGCCGGTGCGGCGCCCCGCCCCGCCCCGCCCCGCCACCCGCCGCCCGCCGCCCGCCGCCAGACGGGACGCACCTGAACACTGCTCCGTGCGGCGGGGGAGGGCGCTCGGGCCCAGGATGGTCGGAGCGGGGCGCTTGGCCGCTCGTGGCGCCGCTCCGGACGGCTCGGACTCCCGAGATACAGCTCTGGGGGGACGATTAGCTGCGGGACGCGGGGGGGGGGAGGGGGGGCGGTTTGTGAACTTTGTGCAACTGCTGTGGTGCTGCGCTGAAGCTGGGTTGGATCCTGTTGCTGTAACCTGTGGAAGTGCTCAAAGCAATCCCGGTTCCGCCTGTCGCGATTTGATGGGAGACGGAACTTAGATGTAACCGTTTGCGAAACTAAATAAGCCAACAACTTAATCTCGAAGTTCGATGCGAATTGGAAGAAATCCCGTTAGCATTGCCATTCACGGGGATTATGTACGCATGTATCATTTATGTTCCCTCACTCTCCACCGACATTCAGAATAATTATAATTGCTGATACCTTCGGTGCTCTGCTCCCTAAGGGGTTGATGAATGGTGCTATTAATTCCAACCGGGCCCACACACGCGTGATTTCCCACGAGATTCGATTACATCCACTTTAATTTGGCCTGGGCCGCTGGCTCGAAGCCTTCCACTGTCCGCTAAACGAGTTCGGAATGTGACGGCTCATCGTCGATACTCTTTGAAAGCTTTAGCAGTTTCTACGTGATCATAATTATTCTTCCCTTACTGTGGACGGTTGTGAGAGGCTGAAGTCAAATGAAGGATACGGTAGCGCACGTGCTGTGGTTACAATCTAATGAGATTTCCACCATGTGGAGGCTACGAGTTAAGAGAAGCGAATGAGTTCTGCTGAAGGCCATGCACCTGTGCCGTAAAATGAGGATGCGGTTCTCTAACAGAGGAAGTTGGGCCGGGTTGAAAATAAGAGACAAACTCAGCATTAAGACACACCGGTGTCTTAACACGCGCCCGGGTGGCCGGCTAGATACCCTTGTGGGGTGGGGTCCATTTGACCCCCCAGAGATCTCGGGAACTAAGAAAGCTAGAGACACCAAATTTACAGGGTGCGTTGACCTGTACGTGAACTCACTTGGGTCAGAGCTTCAGGCTCCTAGGTCATGACCTTCGGGTCAAAAAGGTCAAACAAGGTCAAATTCCAGGTTGGTCTCCAAGGTGCACCCAGAACGTAGATAACCACAACCGTTTCTAAGCAAAATGTCACATCTCATTTAATGCATTGACCTTGTTTGACCTTTTGAAGTCAAGGTGGTTAAGTCATACAAGATTGCTTTGAGTTTTGTATTGGACCAAGCGGCAAAGATTGCGCTATGCAGCTATATTCCTAAAACCAAAATGTTGACCTAGGTCATTTCAGGTCAGTGACCTATTTCTGACCTTTAAGACGTCTATGAAGATGTGTTTATAATGCGGTTCCTGCTATCAATAACACTCGACGAAATGATCACCCAGAACACTGTCCCATACAGCAAGCCCTAGAGTAATAAAACAGGTTGGTTGTGACCTTGGTGTGACCTTCACACCTGACGCTAGGTCCATTCAATTTGCTCATTCAACTGTTGTTGCCTAAGAAAGCATCTCAGATATGTATGACTTCGTCTAACACTCCGCTGTTGGATCGGATTGAACGATTCCCCTAGAAATTGACTTCGCTGAAACCATTGCCTGCCTTTGACCTGCCATAGGTCAGCGACCTTACAAGGTACATATAAATTTTAGATGCCAAACGATCCGCTATTCAATTGTGTACAGTTATCCAAAATTTGGTGCGGCTGTGCCGCGCCGTTCGGAAACTATTCTGGAAAAACCTTCGGGGGGGGGGGGGGGTCAATTTGACCCTCTCCCCACCCGAGCGTGTGTTAATGCTGAGTTTGTTTCTTCTTGTTATGGTGGTCCTAAAGATGACACGTTTCGGAGTGCGCAGTAGACATAGCGTGGGGCCGCTGACGCCACATGTGGGTGCAGAGCATTAGCGCAGGTATGGCACCAGTGCCGCAGTGCCTGGGACCTTGATGGGATTGTAAGTTCTACATAAAAGCTTAGTTCCAGCAACTTTTGGATCAAATGGTTGAAGTAAAGATTCCAATACCACCAATAGATGCCACCATGGTGGTCGTTTTATAAAACAAAATGGAACGTTACGCACGCCGTCACGCCCCTTTCA